GGTGACATGGGCGGCGTCGGGGATGGCGAGGCGGACGGCGGCGGCGGCGAAGGCGACGCGGAGGGCGGCGGCGGCGAAGGTGACGCGGAGGGAGGCGGTGGCGTTGGCGAGGCCGATGGCGGTGGCGGCGACGGCGATGCCGACGGCGGCGGCATTGGAATCCACTCGCATGTGCTTGAGTCACACTCCTCCTTTGTGAAATACCAGCACCGCCGGTTCCAGTACGGCGTCTGTTTTCTACCCTTGCACTGCGAGTTCGGGACGTAGCTGTACATCAGCTGGTTAATGAGCTCGGCTCGATCCGCGCAGTCATCTCCGAGTCCCAGGCCGGCTCCATGGTAAGTTGGGCCGCCGAAGCTGACGTTAAAAGCCTGGAACAGCGCTTCGCGTGCTATCCATGCTGAGGGAATCCCCTCCAGCAAGTTCCAGCTACATCCGAAGCTCCAATCCGTCGTGCCGCCGGCTTCCGAGACAGCTTCAGTCAGGTATGGCACGGCCTCCGAGCAATTGAAGTAGCCACTCGACACGAACAGCCAGTTGTTGTGATCGCATGCGACTGTGACCGTCCCAGGCGGCGCTGGCGGCGGTGGCGGCAGCTGCGGCGGTGAGGGTGGCAGCGGCGGCAGCGGCGATGGCGGCAGGGACGGCGGCGGCGGCAGGGGCGGCGGCGACGGCGGCTGCGCAGCCCAGCACACCTGGAATAGGGAGGGGGGACCGGGGTTGGGTGAGCGCGAGAGCTCAGGAGGGCAGTGTGCAAGGAGCAAGGGATGCAGAGAAAGGAGCGCGCGCCTTCCAGCCAGACATGGTGACTTCCCCGTCAGAGACCCACGTCATGGTCCCATTCGACGGCACGACCCCGGCCGGGCCCGAGGTGCCGCAGTACCTCACGCCGTTGACGAGGAGGTGGGCGTAGGGGCAGATCGCGCCGGACTCGCAGCCGCAGCAGCCGTCGCCGGGGCAGTCCACGTCAAAGGCGATCACGTCCAGCCCGGCCTGCGGCAGGCCGTAGAGGGTGCAGCCCTCGTCGATCGGGTAGTCGTTCGGGAAGTTGGGCGAGGTGGCGCACGAGCCGCCGTCGGTGATCAAGCACGGGCCGCTGGTGCAGACGTCGCCGAACGGGCATGGCGGCAGGGACGGCGGCGGCGGCAGGGACGGCGGCGGCGGCAGGGACGGCGGCGACGGCGGCGGGGAGGGCGGCGCAAACGGCACCACGAAAGACTTCCGCTCCTCGGACCCAGAGGCAACGGTGAGGCCCTCTTGCCCGAGGCCCGACCAGCTAGCGCCGTTCCAGCCGTCGCCGTACGAGTCCTTCATGACGAGCTCGCACTCGACGCCGGGCGAGAGGGAGACGCCGTACTCGGCCTGGAAAGGCTCTCCGCTCGCGTAGGGCGCTGACGAGAGGACGACCGTACCGCCGCACCAGAGGTCCCAGCTCACCTCGCTAGGGTACGATCCCGGCGTCGTGGTGACGGTGTAGTATGCGAGCGGGTACGAGGGCGGAGACGGCGGCGACAGCGGCGACGGCAGTGACGGCTGCGACAGCGGCAGTGACGGTGGCGGCGGCGGCGGCGGCGGAAATGGCTGTGCGCTCGCTTCTGGGACGAGAGAGGCGGAGGTGAGCAGCGCAGCGATGGCCCAGTGCCTCGAGCCTGGTGAAATCATGCCGCGGGACGCAGGCCGAAGCCAAGAACAAGGGCGGGACGCTGGCCGAAGCAGGACAAGGGCCATTGCAATCGAGGCGTCATGTCACGGTCAACCCGAATAGTAGGGATCCTATTCCGGCGGTTCTCTTCCTTAGGCGGAACTTATTTTCGCTGAAAGGACAAACATGAAAGTCCAGGCCACATGATGTGCCTAGGTTTCTTTCGAAAACTAAAAGATCAGTAACCAGCCTCCGGCGGGGCCCCCCGGCCCCCGCTACCCAGCTATCAACCGACAACGCGCACAAAAACACGAGAGTAATACTGTTCAAGAAGAAATTTAACAAACAAAACAGGCTTGTGAAGAAGCAGCGCACCCATAACGCGCTACACGCGGACCCTCAGGCTGCTGGAGCGAGAGCTGAGCGGGAGTACGGGACGTCGGCCAGCAGGTCTCGGATGGCACCAAGCCGTGACTGAAGGCTGCCCTCGAGCGGCTCCAACTCCAGCATCTCTTCGACTTTTCTTCGATCAGACGTAGGAGCGGCAGCTGCTCGTCCAGCTCAAGTGCCGCGCGGATGCCGTCCGCCTCCCGCAGGAGCCCGTGTAGCGTCGCCAAGATTCGGTCGCAGGCGCCAATCAATGGCGGGTGTAGCGGCGGCAGGTCAAGGAGCTCGTTCGCAGCCCTGATTGTAGTCAGGATAGCAGGCTCCGCGGGGACGGGGATGCCAAGCACCATCTGGATGAGGCAGCTATTCTGCGCGAGACCGAGCGGCCAGCCCCGCGGATCGCTGCCCGGGAAGTGGATTCTGGTGCACACGGTGCGCGCCGGGGGGCGGGTGGTGCCAGGGCGGGTGGTGCGCACGGCTCCGAGCGCGAGCAGCGCGTCGGCGCCGACTCGGAGCATGGCTGCTCGAGCGGCCGGCGTGGAGTGTCGGCCCTGCGCGAGCGTGCGCGCTCCAGCAGCACGCCGACCAGCACGAGCGCCACTGCGTTGACGCAGGTGGCGATGTCCAGCAGCACACTGCTTTCCTCGGTCCGCAGCACACTGCCGTAGACGGAGAGCCGGCCGAAGATGGCATCCGCCATGGGCGGCGAAAAGCCGGTGGGGGCCGGTGAGGCCGGCGAGATTCGTTGCGAGATACGGTTCGCGCCCAAACCAAGTTTGGACGCTCTGGGGACGCGCAGCAAAACCATTCGTTAAACCAATCCTTTGACAGCACACACCCAAGTTGGCCCACACACTGGCGCAGAACGCCCTCCAGGGCGCTGCACAAAGCCGTGTGGGGGGGGGGGGGGGGGGCAGCGAGTCCACCTTGCTCGGCCGGTACACGCCGAGGAGTGAGATATGGCGGAGATATGGCGGAGAGATGGGGAGAGATGGCGGAGAGATGGGGGGAGAGCCCACCTTGCTCGGCCGGTACAATCCGAGCCGCTGCGGCGGCGCCATGTCGGGCTCAAAGTCGTGCGGGTGGAGGCCTAATTAATTCGTTGATTACTCCTTGATTGACGCTGATCAACGAGGCCCCCTCCGAGTCGTGCAGATGGAGCGGGCCGAGGAAGCCGTCGTCGCCAAGCAGCCGGCGAGGGGCGGACTCGCCGCCGCTCTCGTCCAGCAGCTTCGCGAGCCCGCGCAGCTTTGGCGGCTTCATCGTGAGCAGCAGCGACGCGTCCATCACTCGCGCGTGCAGCTCGCGCAGCTCGTCAGTGTCGAGGTGCGAGAGCCAGTCCGGGGAGTCGGCGAGCCGGTCCGCCTCCGCCTCCTCCGCCGAGCGCGGCCTAGGGAGAGATGGGGAGAGATAGGGAGAGGTGGGGAGAGATGGGGAGAGGTGGGGAGAGGTGGGGAGAGATGGGGAGAGGTGGGGAGAGATGGGGAGAGATGGGGAGAGGTGGGGAGAGGTGGGGAGAGGTGGGGAGAGGTGGGGAGAGATGGGGAGAGATGGGGAGAGATGGGGAGAGGTGGGGAGAGATGGGGAGAGATGGGGAGAGGTGGGGAGAGGTGGGGAGAGGTGGGGAGAGGTGGGGAGAGGTGGGGAGAGATGGGGAGAGATGGGGAGAGAGGGGGAGAGAGGTGGGGAGAGGTGAGGAGAGATGGGGAGAGGTGGGGAGAGGTGGGGAGAGGTGGGGAGAGATGGGGAGAGAGGGGGAGAGGTGGGAAGAGATGGGGAGAGGTGGGGAGAGGTGGGGAGAGAGTCCCGCCTGTCCGCTCCCGACGCAAACCGCTCCTCCTCCTCCCACACGTCGCCTTGCTCGCCGTCGTCAAACGCCGCACGCCGGCTGCCCCTCCGACCGTACCGGCCTCCCGCCTCGCTCGCCTCCCCGCGCGCCCGCCCACGGCCCCGGCCCCCGTCGCTCAAGAAGCCCCTGCCGCCCCGCCCACGCCCGCCGCCCGCCGCGCCGCCGCGCCCGCCGCCGCGCCCGCC